TTCAATGCATGATGCTGGACACCTGTGTATCCACATGGGAAAAATGACCCTGGTCCTTTATATTCCCATACACAAAGCAGTCAGTTCCAGATGGACTCTAGCTTCAGGGATGAAAGACAGCCCTAGAGAGCTTTAGAAGATAAAAAGAAAGGCATCTTAAACCCGACACAGAACTACAGTCCTCGGATAGGGCTGATTCAACTATAGTTTAAGAATTTCTGTTCCTCTAAAGGTCCCACGAAGAGAAAGCAAAGACAGGACACAAATTGGGAGATTTTCACCACACGTGTAGCCAGCAAAAGCCTTCTGAACTATGATACATGAAGAAATCTGACAAGTTAGTATGAAAGAGACAACCCAAGTAGAAAAGACTTCTACATGTACTTCACAAAAGAGAAAAGCTGAATGACCAACGAACAAAAAGGTGCTCATCCTCATTAAGAATGAACAGCACGCCACTTAAACTCACAATATGGTGCCACTAACCAGCGCCCACCAAGCCTGTGTGTTGGTGTTGGGAGCCACGCAGGCTCTTGGGCACTGCTGGTGGAGAAGAGAATGGGCACAACCACTTTGGAGATGGCTTGGAATTATTTGGTAAACAGAAGACACCCGCATCCTATGGCCCAACAGTTCCACTCCTAGGAGTCTACCTGACAAAACGCTTGCACACAGGCATCAGGAGAACCGTGTAAGGATATCTGTAGCAGCATGCTTCATAACAGTCAGAAACTGAAAACAGCCCAGGTACCCACTTACATAGACTAGAAACAGAAATCTGGGTATATTTACACAATACAGTACCATTCGGATAAATGAACACACTGCTGCTCTATGCAAGAGGGATAACCTCAGAAACATAAAGCGAAGCAATGCAAAAAAGAATATGAATGTATCATTATTGAGTACAATTCCATTAAAAATTTTTAAAATACACAAAACCAGAAATTTTTATGATTTAGGAACACCAACATCTGTGGTATAGAAACACAAAAGGCTGCTCAACATAGAATTCAGGGCAGCAGTTAACCTGGGCAGGCAGAGGCCGGGGTAGGAAAGCAGAGTGCATGGGAAATTCACAGGCAATGTTAAGGGTTTTTGTTACACAAAGAAGCATTTATACATAGGTTACTTGTATTTTTATTTTAAATAGATTTCTGTTCCTCTAAAGGTCCCACGAAGAGAAAGCAAAGACAGGACACAAATTGGGAGATTTTCACCACACGTGTAGCCAGCAAAAGCCTTCTGAACTATGATACATGAAGAAATCTGACAAGTTAGTATGAAAGAGACAACCCAAGTAGAAAAGACTTCTACATGTACTTCACAAAAGAGAAAAGCTGAATGACCAACGAACAAAAAGGTGCTCATCCTCATTAAGAATGAACAGCACGCCACTTAAACTCACAATATGGTGCCACTAACCAGCGCCCACCAAGCCTGTGTGTTGGTGTTGGGAGCCACGCAGGCTCTTGGGCACTGCTGGTGGAGAAGAGAATGGGCACAACCACTTTGGAGATGGCTTGGAATTATTTGGTAAACAGAAGACACCCGCATCCTATGGCCCAACAGTTCCACTCCTAGGAGTCTACCTGACAAAACGCTTGCACACAGGCATCAGGAGAACCGTGTAAGGATATCTGTAGCAGCATGCTTCATAACAGTCAGAAACTGAAAACAGCCCAGGTACCCACTTAGGTAGACTAGAAACAGAAACCTGGGTATATTTACACAATACAGTACCATTCGGATAAATGAACACACTGCTGCTCTATGCAAGAGGGATAACCTCAGAAACATAAAGCGAAGCAATGCAAAAAAGAATATGAATGTATCATTATTGAGTACAATTCCATTAAAAATTTTTAAAATACACAAAACCAGAAATTTTTATGATTTAGGAACACCAACATCTGTGGTATAGAAACACAAAAGGCTGCTCAACATAGAATTCAGGGCAGCAGTTAACCTGGGCAGGCAGAGGCCGGGGTAGGAAAGCAGAGTGCATGGGAAATTCACAGGCAATGTTAAGGGTTTTTGTTACACAAAGAAGCATTTATACATAGGTTACTTGTATTTTTATTTTAAATAGACTTAATAAATAGTCTTTGCTTCTACTCAATATTTAATCATGTTAAAGGATTCCAAAGTAGCACATGTGAAGATGCTGTGTTAGTTGTAATGATATTTATAGGAATGCCTTTCAATTATTGAAACATCACCATGCACGAATGCCTTCACTGCCGTGGCCGGGACAGCAGACTGCCCCTGGAGGAGCAGCTGGTCTCTCCAGGGCTGCCTAACCATCCTGACTGTCAGCACTAGATGAGAAAAGCTGGTGGGCAGGCTTCCCTAGTGGCTTGGAGGTAAACAATCCACCTGCCAACACAGGAGACGTGGGTTCAAGCCCTGGTCCGGGAAGATCCCACTTGCCGCAGAGCAGCTAAGCCCGCGCTCCAGAGCTGTGAGCCCGCGACTGCCGAGCCGGCGCGCCGCCAGCACTGAAGCCCTCGCGCCCTGGAGCCCAGAAGCCCACGTTCCGCAGCACAGCGCAGCCGGGGACAGCCGCGCGCAGCGGAAGACCTAGCAGAGGCAGCGACAGCGCAGAATAAACCGATTCTGTTACGAAGGTGTGGTTACTATCTTGAAGAAGCAGCTCAAGTTCCTTGGCTTAACGGGGACCAAGTGTGAAAGTCAAAGTGTTAGTTGCACAGCCGTGTCCAGCTGTCCAGGCTCCTCTGTCCGTGGGAGTCTCCAGGCAAGAACACTGGAGTGGGTAGTCATTCCCTCCTCCAGGGGATCTCCCCCACCCAGGGATCAAAGCCAGGTCTCCTGCATCACAGGCAGATCCTGCACCATCTGAGCCCCCAGGGAAGCCCCCAGTGAGAACCAGAAGCTCTGTAATCCTCTGTATCAGGCTAAGACGCTAGTTCAGTTAATTCTTGGTTCAACCGCCGGAGCGGCCGGACCCTAACAGCGGGAAGCGCTCTCATATCCCCCGAGCAGGGGCTGAGGAAACATCCACTCCACCCCCAGGCTGGGGGAGGTCACAACTGTGGGGACAGGAGACTCAGGAGGCCATCCCAGGCTTCCCAGAGCTGGTCACAGACAGACAGAGGACGCTCCAGGGCAGTCGGGACAGGTGCCCGGGGAACCCTATTGAGGCTGGTGTGGAAATGTTTTACCCAGGATGGGAAGAAACCATGGGACCCAGCTACTACATCTGGCCCCCCGACTTTTAATAAAGTATTCTTGGGAAGAAGGTTCCCATCACAAAGAAAGAAATACAAATATTTAAAAAGCAAACAAGTCATCAGGGCTCTCAGTCCTGCTGCCATATGCTCTGCTTTTTTGAGCTCACAGCTTAACATTAAAATAACAGGCTCGCATTCCTCAAATATCTCTACTGCTGTTCCTTACTTCCACTACTTGAAAAGGCTGTCAGCTGCAGTCACTTGGAGGCATTACCATATTAGCCACCACTGTTTACTGCTTGCACTGCGGCACGGCTATTAGTTTAATAAGCCTGCTCTTCTCTCGGATGACACCCCAGGCTGTCTACGCGAGAGCCACAGGCTGGAGACTTGATTTCTAACGAAGGTGCCGAGGGTGGGAGGCAGGAGCGGCCACTTTATAAATATTGATGAGAGTAACGGAATTCAATCGCATCAGGCTAAACTTTACTGATGGGCCGCACGCTTTTTAAAGTGCTTCAACCACTTTATGGTTCCATGGGCTAACCAGCCTTGGATAAAATCCAGACGTGTCCTCAGAGAGCAAAAGAGCAAGCTTGAGACCTGCAAGAAGTCAAACACGGAGGCAAAACCCTTTAATTCACTCCGCATAAATAGCTGGACCTACAGAAGAAATCTCCAGTCAGAGGTTTCCTGGATTATAAGGAGAATTTTCTCCGTGGGGAGAAGAGAAATGCCCTTTTCACTTGAAGACAAAGAAATGTTTGTAATGGAAATGTGTGAACCAATTTTCCAAGGGGAGTTGCTGAAACGCACTAATTAAAACCACAGTGAGGGGAGGAGGCAGAGAAATAAAGCCAAGGCTGAGCTACTTAAAATTTGCAACATTTCTGAAAGCCAGAGAGCCAGCCCACCTTTCTTCCCCTGCGCCGGCAGCCCCCGCTGCTGCTGACCCTGCATTAGAGAATTAGAACCTGCCCGCCTGCAGGGCCGCTCACTGTTTCTGCCCACTGTGTACTGGTTACTAAGCTACTCCACCGAGGATAAGATGGGAACCGAGCAACCCCAAAGACAATGTCCTTCCCAACAAAGCCTAATCACCGCCCTGGATTCAGGGATTCAGAGGGAAGAGGTGAAGATACGCAGACATTCTAGCACACGGCATTCTGTAATGACATTCCTTAGCTTACATACAAATATTTTGATTGATTTAAGGAATTCCGTTTCCAAGAGAATAAAACTAAGGCACAAAGGGGTTGGGTATCCTGATCAAAGCCACCTAAAATACAGTAATCACCTGGAATTCGGGCGAGTCCTTGTTGACGTAGGAGAAACAAGCTATAAAGCAATGGTTCCCAAATTTTAGTCATTGGCGTTTGTTCCATGTAGCTTTTGCCATATCCACATATATTAATATTTTCCTTTAAATTCACTTTAAAATAAGTCATTTAAAATTTTTTAGTCTCCCTCTGAGCAATCGTTTCTATGAAATCACACTTTGACATGCAGCTGTATTTTTTCTAATGTTCATTTAAAAATGCATAACTGTTAAAATGAAACAGTTCATCCATAATGCATTTCAAATCATCTTGTATACCTCAAGGGTACACACTGGAAAAAAAGGGATAAAGTGTTTCAACTCAGGTTGATTTGAGAAACTGTTTCTAAATATCCTGAAAAAACAAGAGTAAAGAGGATTTTGTACTATTTACCACCAGGACGTCCATGAAGGACTTGGATAAATTGAAGAGATAAATTTCACACCTTCTGTATAAGGAAAAAACAAGTAAGCCTGGGATCACTTACATAAAGTTTTCTGGGTATTCGCTCAGGGCCATGTCGATGATATTCAGAGCATCATGGTAATGCTTCTGCGCCGAGAGCAAGAGGGCGAGGAGGTGCAGGGAGTTGGCATCATCGCCTTGAAGTTGAAGAGCCTGGCGTACGTACCCCAGAGCCTCTGGGATCTGGTTTAAAACAAAACCCAGAAGAATTCTTAGACACACGCACACACCCAGCCACCATTTCAGTATTTGAAAGTCAAAGTGTCAGTCGCTCAGTCGTGTCTGACTCTTTGCCACCCCGTGGACTGTAGCCCGCCAGGCTCCTCTGTCCGTGGGATTCTCCAGGCAGGAAGACTGGAACTAGTAGCCATGCCCTCCTCCAGGGGATCTTCCCTACCCAGGGATCGAACCCAGGTCTCACACACTGCAGGCAGATTCTATACCGTCTGAGCTTCCAGGGAAGCCTCTGATTCTCTGTAAATGTCAGGAGTTGTTTCACCATGTGTCACATTCAGATTTTAAGCCTTATTTACGGCCGCCCCAGGATATTAACCACAAACATGAAAACAGAGGCCCCCTTCAAGTGACAAAATGACTAATGAAGTGATACAAGAGACTGTTTCTCAGTATAACTGCCGATCCCAAATCTTTTATATCTCCCTAAATAAACAATTTCTCCCTTTTCCCACACAACTGGATTACTTTTGATTATGTCCAAGATAATTTCACTCTAAATGCAGACGTAACAAATTGCCAAGTTTTTAAACTGCCTGAGCTGAACAGTTTCCATTTTTTTTTCAAGTAGCGCTGAAATGAAAGTACTTAGTAAGTTTCAAAACTTTAAACGGAGCTTTCCAAATGATCAGACACCTGTGATTATTTTCAAGTTCCTTTGTCCTGGATCTCTATTAGACATCAAGGAGATACGCAAACAAACAAACAAAAAAAACCCCACACCTTTCCAAACTATAATCCAAAATAACACCATCCAAGAAACAAATTCAATGCCACACACAAAGCAGGTGTATCCAAATGTAAGTAGGACCAGATACAACTTTAACCTTTAAGATCCAACAGCTGTTCAAGACTTTCTTCAAAATCACCCAACACAAGGATTGATAAAATGCATACATAACAGATATTTGAACACCAGAGTTTCCATATAGGTTTAACAGTATCCACCCACCAAGCAGGAGACCTGGGTTCAATCCCTGGGTTGGGAAGATCGCCTGGAAGAGGAAATGGCAACCCCCTCCAGTGTCCTTGCCTGGAGAATCCCATGGACAGCGGAGCCTGGCGGGCTACAGTCCATGGGGTCAGAGTCGGACACGACTGGGCACGGCAGCAGCAGCAGTGCAGCGCGGGGCCTGGAGCTGGATTTCAGAGCAGGCTTGAGACAGGCCTCCTTACAGCGCGGTCCAGGACGCCGCCTGCCCACCCCCTCCGACCCCGGGCCCGGGTGGGACCCCTCTGCTCTTCTGCTTCCTCCCAACCCCCAGCATCTCACTCCTTAGCAAGGAGCCATGACTTCCGTCTGTCCCCACGTCTATCTGTTTTCCTCTCTGAAGTTCCATTTTTGATGAATATAAGTTAAAAATGCTGGTTTAGAGGGGCTCTCTGCTTTTGAGCCCTAGAATCCCAGCTATCACAGTGGGGACCTATCATCTCATGGGCGGTAGGGGAGGGTCTGCAATCCAGAGAGGAGACGTGCCTTGGGCAGGTCCCCCAGCCCCATGCTGAGACCAGAGCGGCTGGACCTCCAGTTCCTCCCCGACCCCCTCCTCCGGGTCAGATGGCAATGGCTCTGTGGACAAGGGGGCTTCCTTGTGGCTCAGCTGGTAAAGAATCTGCCCGCGATGCAGGAGACCCCGGTTCGATTCCTGGATCAGGAATATCTACTGGAGAAGGGACAGGCTACCCACTCCAGTATTCTGGGGCTTCCCTGGTGGTTCAGCTGGTAAAGAGTCCAGCTGCAGTGCAGGAGACCTGGGTTCAATCCCTGGGTTGGGAAGATCGCCTGGAAGAGGAAATGGCAACCCCCTCCAGTGTCCTTGCCTGGAGAATCCCATGGACAGCGGAGCCTGGCGGGCTACAGTCCATGGGGTCAGAGTCGGACACGACTGGGCACGGCAGCAGCAGCAGTGCAGCGCGGGGCCTGGAGCTGGATTTCAGAGCAGGCTTGAGACAGGCCTCCTTACAGCGCGGTCCAGGACGCCGCCTGCCCACCCCCTCCGACCCCGGGCCCGGGTGGGACCCCTCTGCTCTTCTGCTTCCTCCCAACCCCCAGCATCTCACTCCTTAGCAAGGAGCCATGACTTCCGTCTGTCCCCACGTCTATCCGTTTTCCTCTCTGAAGTTCCATTTTTGATGAATATAAGTTAAAAATGCTGGTTTAGAGGGGCTCTCTGCTTTTGAGCCCTAGAATCCCAGCTATCACAGTGGGGACCTATCATCTCATGGGCGGTAGGGGAGGGTCTGCAATCCAGAGAGGAGACGTGCCTTGGGCAGGTCCCCCAGCCCCATGCTGAGACCAGAGCGGCTGGACCTCCAGTTCCTCCCCGACCCCCTCCTCCGGGTCAGATGGCAATGGCTCTGTGGACAAGGGGGCTTCCTTGTGGCTCAGCTGGTAAAGAATCTGCCCGCGATGCAGGAGACCCCGGTTCGATTCCTGGATCAGGAATATCTACTGGAGAAGGGACAGGCTACCCACTCCAGTATTCTGGGGCTTCCCTGGTGGTTCAGCTGGTAAAGAGTCCAGCTGCAGTGCAGGAGACCTGGGTTTGGTCCCTGGGTTGGGAAGATCCCCTGGAGAAAGGAACGGCTACCCACTCCAGTACTCTGGCCTGGAGAATTCCATGGACTGTGTAGTCCCTGGGGTCACAAAGAGGCGGACACGACTGAGCGCCTTTCGCTTTCACTAAGGATGAGGGCCCCTCCCCGTTGTCCTCCCTGCCGGGGGGCAGGCACACAGCACAGCGTCCCGCTGGGGGGCCTCCGGAGGCCCCCGCGGCACCCACAGCGCTCCAGCTACTTCTCCCCTCCCCAGGGAAAGCCTACTGCAGGCCAGCACTCAGCCTGGCATCCAGAGAGAGTCAAGAAGGCAGGTACACTCAAGCTGTCCATTTTCAGGGAAGTCCAACCCAACCAAGAAAAGACGGATCAGGGTTCAAAGTGGTGCTCTCTGGGGCTGGGCTGACCTGAAGGAATAGCAGGTTGGTTCCTTCATTCACCCAGTATTAGTGAGTGCCTACCACGTGCCAAGCAATGGGCCAGCTGCCAGGGCAAAGTGGTGATGATGACAGACGGGGGTTCCTGTCCTCGGGCAACCTCAAGTCTACAGCGAACAGGAGCAGGGAGCAGGAGGGAGGAGCGGAATAGGGAGCCCCGTGAAGGGGCTTCACGGAGGAGGCGAGAGGAGGTCCTGGCGGCCGAGGGAGGCGGCGGTGGGTCACCAGCCCACAGCTCTCGCTGCAGCAGCGCGTGGTCAGGCCTTGGACACGGACGGGGTCTCTTGGTTCCCGCGGTCCCCGGTCCCCAGCGGGAGCCGCCTAGCGCCCTTCGCCAGGCTCCAGGAGGTCAGATGCGTGGCCATGGCCTGTCCTGCCGGGGGAAGGGCGTGTCCGGGGAGCTGACCCTTGAGTCACCCTCCGGCCAGCGCTCGGGAAATGTGCTGGGGTCACCACCAGCGTCTCGCACCTGGTGGCCGGCGGGCACGGGGCCAGAGGCCCCAGGACCGCGGGGAGGGGACCGCAGCGGGGGAGCGCGGCAAAGGCAGCGGCAGGAAGCTGCCGCCAGGAGGGCAGAGACCGGCGGAGCGCGTCCCTGCGGCCAGGCGGGCACCGCGGGGGCTCCGGGGTCGGGGAGCCGCTGTGCGTCGCTGTTCACCCCCCTCCGTGTTTGAAAGGGACGGGTCTCTGCGTGCACCGCCGGCGTCCTCCGGCCGACGGCCGAGAGACCGCGTATGACGCCCGGGCCCCTCCGGTGACGGAGTCCCAGCCGCGCAGCTCAGCCCTGGGCTCTAGGCGCGAGCGACGGGGGCTCCCTGGCGACCCCTGGGGTCACCCAGCGCTGCCCCGTCCCCACCCGAGCCGGGGCCCCCCGGTTTGCGGTGTGACCTCCAAAAGCAGGGCCCGGCCTGCTTGTGTCTGCGCAGCTGCTGCTCCAGCGGACCAACCCCGGGGCCTTTGCCGAGGACTCGGCATCCCCGGGGAGAGGCTCCCGGGCAGCCTTGGGCGCCGAACGCAGAGGTCCCGCCCCAGACCGCGCTGAGACGGAGCGGGCGCCGGGGGACTGACCTGTCTGGAGATGGCGAGCTGCAGGGCCAGGTAGAAGGCGGCCTGGTGGTCTGTAGGCGACAGGCTGTGGGCCCTGCAAGAGCGTTGGCAGCGGTTAGCGCGCGAGGCCCCCAGGCGCCCCGACCCAACCAGGGCTCCCATTGCTGCTGTCACTTATTCCGAGGCCCCAGATTTAACAACGGTCTATATTGCTAGGTGCATACAAATGAGAGTATTTGATAGCCCTTATGGACTCAACGTTTTCTTTTTATATGGTATCATCTTAGTCTGTCTCCAGTAAGTTCTTTTGACTAAAATCCTATTTTGTATGATGTTGACATAACTATTGCAGATTCATTTTGGTTCGTATTTGCACGGCAGTCTTTTGTCACATCTTTACTTTCACGTTTTCTATATTCTTATAATTCAGTGACCTCTCTTGCAAACAGATTAGAGTTAAATTGTTTATAAATCCAGTGTTACTGTCTTTGTCTAGCTCTATAACACAGTCACTTATAATTATTATACTGATTCATATATCTGGTTTTAAGTATTTCCTTTTTTGGGTGCTTTCTATTTTTCCTCCCTGATCCTGGTTTCTTTCTGCTTTCTTTCCTTATTTTGGAATTATTACTTTTCAATCAGCTTTAACTTATAAATCAGTCATACATGTTGCTAAAAGTTTTACAGTATTTTTAAATATGAATACCCTTAGTACAATAAAGTCTAACTACAACTTAAAAGTTTTTGTTTCATTTAAACTCTTCTCCTCTGTCCACTAGCTAATGGAATGCAAGTTTCCTCTTGGCCCTGCACATGAGGTGACACATTTCTGGGTTTCATCTCGCATCAGCAATGGCAGTCGATGAGCCTGGCTTTGAGAAGGAGCCTGGGGTGGAGAATATGCAGGCTCGAGGTAGGACCCCCCTGCAGGCTCCTCCCTCAGACTGAGCAGGAGAGGCCACGTGTCACCCTGGGAGGCGTGAGCACTCCCGGCAGGGCGACGGCTGCTGTGGTTAAGTTATGGCTTGGCCTTGATGCTACTTCATCCAAATTTCTGGATTTCAGAGAAACCATGTGAAAATCAAAGGCCTGGCTTTGCTTGCAAAATGAGGTTTTGGTTTTTTGATGAACCGTACGGAGAAATGGAGGATACTCATTCAGTCTTTTGAAGGTTCTACTAAGTTTGACATAGTTTTCTAATGACATGCAACATGTAAGACTCTGTGGCCAGACACTAGACTTAGTCTATTAACTGGCTTTTGGCGCCAATAGGAAGTGGCTATACTGGCCTCTTGCTTGATGGCAAGCATGTCATTCTTGCTTTTACGTGGAAGTCAGTTGTATTTTATAAGCAATGCAAAATGTGGCTATAGATGAGACATAATTCTGTGTTCAACAGTCCAGTGAGAAGAGAAAAACAAACTTTTACTTTCTTTAAAAGGCACTGTGGCGCAGACTAATTACAAAAGGGGAGGCCCAGACAGTGAGCAAAACTTCGGGCTCTTCTGTCAATGTTCTGTGATTAAGGGAGGATCTTCTACCAGCAAATTCAAGATGATTTATAAATCCAGTGTTACTGTCTTTGTCTAGCTCTATAACACAGTCACTTATAATTATTATACTGATTCATATATCTGGTTTTAAGTATTTCCTTTTTTGGGTGCTTTCTATTTTTCCTCCCTGATCCTGGTTTCTTTCTGCTTTCTTTCCTTATTTTGGAATTATTACTTTTCAATCAGCTTTAACTTATAAATCAGTCATACATGTTGCTAAAAGTTTTACAGTATTTTTAAATATGAATACCCTTAGTACAATAAAGTCTAACTACAACTTAAAAGTTTTTGTTTCATTTAAACTCTTCTCCTCTGTCCACTAGCTAATGGAATGCAAGTTTCCTCTTGGCCCTGCACATGAGGTGACACATTTCTGGGTTTCATCTCGCATCAGCAATGGCAGTCGATGAGCCTGGCTTTGAGAAGGAGCCTGGGGTGGAGAATATGCAGGCTCGAGGTAGGACCCCCCTGCAGGCTCCTCCCTCAGACTGAGCAGGAGAGGCCACGTGTCACCCTGGGAAGCGTGAGCACTCCCGGCAGGGCGACGGCTGCTGTGGTTAAGTTATGGCTTGGCCTTGATGCTACTTCATCCAAATTTCTGGATTTCAGAGAAACCATGTGAAAATCAAAGGCCTGGCTTTGCTTGCAAAATGAGGTTTTGGTTTTTTGATGAACCGTACGGAGAAATGGAGGATACTCATTCAGTCTTTTGAAGGTTCTACTAAGTTTGACATAGTTTTCTAATGACATGCAACATGTAAGACTCTGTGGCCAGACACTAGACTTAGTCTATTAACTGGCTTTTGGCGCCAATAGGAAGTGGCTATACTGGCCTCTTGCTTGATGGCAAGCATGTCATTCTTGCTTTTACGTGGAAGTCAGTTGTATTTTATAAGCAACGCAAAATGTGGCTATAGATGAGACATAATTCTGTGTTCAACAGTCCAGTGAGAAGAGAAAAACAAACTTTTACTTTCTTTAAAAGGCACTGTGGCGCAGACTAATTACAAAAGGGGAGGCCCAGACAGTGAGCAAAACTTCGGGCTCTTCTGTCAATGTTCTGTGATTAAGGGAGGATCTTCTACCAGCAAATTCAAGATGACAAAGAATACCAATCACTATGGAGTCAACTGTGGCAAACACACCAAGGATGGATTTCTATGGTAATCAGGCCTTTTTAATGGGGCTGTCTGTCTGCTGTGGGGAAAAAGGCAAAAAGTCTTCTGAGTGTTTGCAACCCAGAAAATATGTGAAGTTCAACAAGCCAGGGCATTATTTGGGCAATGACCCTGATGCTGGGAAAGACTGAAGGCAGGAGGAGAAGGGGACGACAGAGGATGAGATGGTTGGAGGCATCACTGACTCAATGGACATGAGTTTGAGCAAGCTCTGGCAGTTGGTGATGGACAGGGAAGCCTGGCCTGCTGTGGTTCATGGGGTTGCAGAGTCGGACACAACTGAGCAACTGAACTGAACTGATTTGGGCAAATGTTGTAGCTCGTGTGTGGGACTTGGGGGAACTAGAGGGTGGAGGTGGTATCCTCTGTCCCTTTTACAATCTTAAGAGCAAAACTCCCATCCTTAGGAAACACGCTTGCCTCAAGACATGGCCGGAGGACTTCTCTGACTTCAGTCTAAGAAGCTGAGGCTGAAGACTTGCTTGTGTTGCCCTTGGAGATGTCTTATTTCTAGCAGAGGCCTACTCAGAATGCCCCAGTTTTTATTACTTGACAGGCATTGGTTTTCCATGAATTTGTACATCAAAGAATTTTTTTCTTTGGTGTTCATAAAAAGTAAGATTGGAATGTCATGGTTTCTGTCTCTCCCAATTATTCAGGGAAAATGAATACAAAATGAATTATGAAGAGACTTTGAATTAGTTAGCATTATTAATTTTATCTCATCTTCTTTCACAATTAATAAAACCAGCTTCCTACAACCCTCAAAAAGAATTCCACAGAGCTGTAATTTTCTCAGCATGGTTTAGATTTTTTTACAAATGAAGTTAAATTAAATCATGGTTGCCTCTACCCAGCACCAACCAAGTAGAAAGCTGGCAGCGGTCTGGAGAACTCAAGGTGTGGATAAGAATGGTTCTGACCAAGGGTCTGACTTAGCATCTTCAAATGATTATCAACTATAAATCCACAGCACCGAGAGAGAGATGTGCTAGAAATCTTGGCATCACTGGGATGCATTAGGACAACATCTGAAGAAGTGTCAGTGTGGCTAATAATGAATATTCAGTGGCCAAATTTCTAATGAGCTAAAACTTAAACATACACATTTTAAAACATCTCATTTCCATAACTTGGTTAAAGAGTTGATCTGGTCACTTCAGCCTATGAAAGAAAAGAGGAGACATGAAGCTGCCCAAGAAAACTAGGAAGGTTCATGGTGTTCATCTCAGGGAGACTCTGAAGACCTCTCTCCAGTTGTGCAGGATGACTTCAGCCGCGAGGCTTCCTGTGACGACACCGTACCTGTGCGCCCACAGAAAACCTTCTCGACAGAAAGCATCCAGCAATGCAGGTGAAGGAAGGACATTAGTGATCTTGGAAACTGCAAGCCTGCTGTTAAATTCGAATTCCTAAAAGTGTCATCACAGGGAAGCTCACAAAGTGCTTCCCTTGTCAAAGCACCTCCATATTCATTAATTCCATGTTTCTTCCACAGGAAAAGAAACAATTGTTAAACTACTGGTCCACTGAGGCCACCATCTATTCATCCATCCATCCATCCATCCATCCATCCATCCATCCATCCATCCACTCATTCATCTATCCATCCATCTACTCAGCCAGCCAGTCACTTAGCCAGCCAGCAATTCACTCAGTCACCCATCTATCCATCCATCCATCCATTCACTCATCCATTCATCCAGCCACTCAGCCAGCCAGCCATTCACTCAGCCATGCATCCACCCATCCCCATATGCAGTACCCACTGTGATGCCAGGCCCTAGCCCCAGTTGAGAGCCTCCCTCAGATCAACTCCTCTTCTTAGAAAGCTCTGCAGACAACACTGTTTTCTTCACTACACTTTTGTACAGGACAAACGAGTTGATTCAGCCTCTTAGGCCGAACTTGTAAGCACATGAACAGCTGAAGGTCTCAATATTATGGTGTAATCACGTAACTGGGATGTCTTCAAAAATCATCTTTCTGAATCCAAGAGGGAACAAAGCTTTTTGAATCCTGATTCCAGTCGTAACTGAGTTAATTAATTTTCACCTGTTAGCTCTGCAACTCACCGCTTTGTGAGTTACATCATTTTCTTTTTAATCAAAAATTACCAAATAGTTGTATTAACTGTGGGAAGACTTAAAATATATGGTAAAAAAAAATTCTCACCCAAATGATTTTTAAATATCCATTTACATATAAGAAGTAATACAAATCCTTCTTATGTACTTAAAATCTTTTCCTTATAGATTTTTGTGACATGTACTATAACACTAGGAGAGTCCTAGTTAATGTGTACTTGAAACAAAATATTTTGATTCCTTTGAAAAACATACTTAGATACACATAAATACAAATTTAGGTTAGCCTTCCCCAATATAATCACATGGGTTAGTAGGATTTTATTCCTCTTTATTCCCATATGAACTAATATTTAAAAATCCCATTGAATCAGAAACTAAGCAGAAGAGGAACAAAAAGAAATTCAGGCCAAGGGAACAGCTGTTACATAACATGAAGTTATGAATTCTGCAGCTCAAGGCAGACCACCACCATGGCTGTTTTTAGAGAGCCAGTAAGATGAGCTGGTTTAAGAAAAGTGAAACAGATGTAATGACCACTTTCTTAGGCATCCATGTGTGGGTTTTACAAACTAGGACTGGAGAATTTAAAACTCCAAATCATTTGAAATGGAAATGCTTTCCACACTCGGTGCTGAAGAACATCAACAGAAACTTCGCACAGAGACAGGAGGTCTGCTTGCAGCTGGCAGTTGGTACTCTGTCATTAACCAGACTGGGACTGGCAGTGTGAAGGAGCTATGGCGAGCCTGCTAGGAAAGGGGAAGGGAAGAGATGAAAGCATCTCAGACTAACTGAAACCCAGAGGTAATGATTTCATGAAAAAAGGAGCATGTCCACGGTGACGGATCTGCAGGCAATCCTGGTTCTAAGAACAGAGATCTAACAACAATTATCAGGGACTGAGAGAGCCTCCCCCAACGTCAGGGTAGGTAACTGAGCTTCTAATATAACCCCAGGAAGTCAGGGTAGCACAGATATTTAAGGCGACAGGATCAATACCAATTCTACACTGGACGTCACGGTCTACACTTGCAGTGATTCATTACCCCTCCAGCAAGAATCAGATCAGGGCATGGTGGCATGGGGGGCTTCCCAGGTGGCACTGGTGGTAAAGAACCAATATAACGCAGGAGATGTAAGAGACCTGGGCTCAATTCCTGGGTTATGAAACTCCCCTGGAGGAGGGCGTGGCAACCCACTCCAGGATTCTTGCCTGGAGAATCCCATGCACAGAGGAACCTGGCTGGCTACAGTCCACGGGGTTGCAAAGAGTCAGACATGACTTAGCAGCAGCAGTGGTGTAGTGGGTACCAGAGAAGCTGGTCAGCATCAGACCTTGACCTTCCCAACTTCCACAGCCACAGGCCTCTGGCTCTCCATCCCTGCATCTGCGGGAACACACACCTTGTCTCATCTACTTACTGATGTGGGCCAAGGATCAAATAAAGGGTGTGAAAGGGCCCTGGGACACACAAGCATTTTCTAATAGAAGGCCTTCTCTAGCTTCATGAAAGGCACAGCGATGGAGGTGACTGTAAGGTGTGATGGAACATGGCAGGGATAGAGCGGCCTGGGGCCTGCTGGCCTGACTGTCTTATATAGTCTTTCAGAGACTGTTCTAATATCTGGCTTTTTTCATTCCCTAATATAAAAATCTGCAGCTTGACATATTAAAAAAAAAAGCAAGCAAAGAATGATCCTTTTTCTAGATGATGAAAAATGTCTTTAATAAAAGGAATCATCTCCGTGGACATAAAAAGTACCTCTCTTGGAGCTGAAATAACTTGATTAGGAATGAAGATGTGCCCAGATGAACAGAATGATGAAGCCTGTGGATCTACATCGCAACAAGTGATGCAGTAAGTTCTATGCTGTATGTTCGGTGCTCAAGAGGAAAGACTCCCGGGGTGGAACACTGTTTACATAATCCTTATAAATATCTCTTCTTTTTATACTCACCGCACTCTGGTGTCATTGTGTACAGCCGAGTGAAGAGAGGGACTCCCACTCACCTCTGAAACGCAAGAAGCGCCCTTCTCTGAAGGACCTCCTGCATCCCTCGCAGAGAAGCTAAGGAAAGGGTACAGTTAGTCAGTGGCATGGAGACCAGGGAGTTTTCGACAAATAGAAATCATCACAAAAACCACACATTTGACTGGATTAAGAGCCACAGATTCTGGGTACCTATGTGCCCAGTCTATCCCAGGCGCTGAGGAGGATGGCAGACAAAGGCCAGGTCAACCTCAGGTCCTCACGCTTGGGCATAACTCTGCAACCATGCCAAGGAGAGAATGGGAGGTGGCTGGTCAATCTTGGCACCCCCAGGAAAAGGGGCCCATCTTCAAAAGACCAGCTGGGAATTCCAGAGAGGAAAACATTCTCAAAGGCAGGCGTGTCATCCCCAGGTGAAGCACGACTCTGCCAAAGTGGACTAGAAGAGATCCAAGCACCAGTGGGTGGATTAGACAGTCTTCAGAGATCCTTCCAGCACCGAGAACCAAGGACACCATGAAAGACCAGTTAAATTCACGTGGGCAATGGCCAGGACCTCTGATATCTTGATGTGAACCCCAGAGACAGACCGGGCAAACTCACCAGTGAGACTGTAAATCAGCTCACCCCTTCCCTGTGTACATGAAAAATGGCACCTCAGAATCTGGTAGAAACTAAAAAGACACTCTCTACTTCAAGAGCAGAAAAACTCCTAGAGGAGCCTGCTTATGGTTTTCTCTGGAGATGGCCCTCATCTAACGAATCCAACAAGGCAGAGCCCATCCTGACATCGCTCTGAGGATGATGGAAGGCTGCCAGAACTGGATGTAGCTGAAACCTGTGGCTAACTCAGAACAACAGTAAGTGAACTAGAGGGAAGCAGAGGGGTGAACCAGGGGAACCACAAACACAGATGAATCCAACAGGGCCAGTTACAGGGCGAATCAGGGGTAGAGTCCAAACCAAGAACTTACATGAATAAATACAAGGTATTAAATTTCACTTCACTGAAAGCCTGCTGTAGTTAAAAGGTATTTTGGGTATTGCCAATATATCAAGTGCATATGAAAAATTAGCCAAAAATCCATTACTGAAAATCAATGGATATGCAAAATTTCTCCAGAATCTTTGATATTTTAGAGCAGAGGAAAGAAAGATTTGAGGTAATGTGTAAAATAAAATCTAGCAAAATTATGAAGGAAGAAAAAGGAAATGAGTGCTAGGGTAGTGTTTTTTCTTAAGGCGGCTTGTGATTGCTGGAACACATGAAGGGCTCCCAAGTGCCTGGCAAAGATCTATCTCCTGAGCAGGGTGGGGACTGTAAGAATATTTTCCTTTATACTAATTTATGGAGTTAGATAACCATTTTTGAGATTTTTTTTTTTGGTATCTGTGTTACATTTCACAGCAAAACGTTAAAGATAATAATAGAAAGAGTTCATAAAAACAATTTATCAATTGGCCCTTTCTGCAAACATTGAATTGAAAACCTCATTAAGCACAGAAAATATACTTAGGATTTCTTTTTTTAGCCAAAACCACATCTACCGAAACAGTGAGTATGTGCAGAATGTACTGTGCGCCCCCAGACCACACACGCACATGCCCGTGAACTGGGATGCGCAAATGGAGAGGGGCGGGTCCTGAGAACCAAGGTGAGCCCTGAACACTCCTACGTTCTGGTGCCTGAGACCAACATCCCTGCACACAGGGCGGGCTCGGGCCGGGGCTGGGGCACGGCTGCGTGCCGGCAGGTGGGTTGAGTTGTCTCTCACAGCTCTGGGCAGACCCCGCATCTGCCAGCGGGGCTCCACCAGCACACACCCCCGTGAAGAGGGGCCTGGGCACCCAGGGGGTGGGGGCAGGGCTCCACGGGACAGGGGCACCCACCCTGCGCCCTCCGGAGACTCGGGGGTCCGGCAGTCCCGCGGCCCCGTGGGAGGGACCCCACTCACCGTCAGTGGCCTGCAGACTGTACGTCAGCCCCAGGGCCAGGTAGCCTTTGGCTTTGAATTCTGACGTTTTCTCTCCTGCATCAACCACTGTTTTGGCAAACTTCTCAGCTTCTTCCAACTGAAAAACCAGATCAGTTAAAAACAATAACAACTTGCAGAATTTCTAATGCGCGTTCCCAAAAGCATCTGCTGCCAAAGACAATTTCTGATGAGTCACTGTTCAAATAAGTCCCCAGCCTTCAGCGCCACCCTGGAGACTGCCTTCTCTTAACCTGAGCCTCTCAAACAGGCCTCAGGACCCCCGCCCGGCCTCTTCCCTTTGAACTTCCCCGTATTGCTTTGCTGCCCTCTTTCCTTCCCGAGGCCCCTGTCGCACTCTGGGGGGTTCTTTTCCGTCTCTGCCCTGCACCTGCTGGCTCTGTGACTAGGCTGTGCCAGGCACTCAGAAGGTACACACGTCTCTATGTATTATTTGTAAAGAATAAAGTTCTTGAAATGATTTGTGCTTGAGTCTTTCCTTTTTAGCATGACATAAAGAATCCTTTAGGCTTGGATTTTCTTTCCTATCGTGAAGAGGGGCCTGGGCACCCAGGGGGTGGGGGCAGGGCTCCACGGGACAGGGGCACCCACCCTGCGCCCTCCGGAGACTCGGGGGTCCGGCAGTCCCGCGGCCCCGTGGGAGGGACCCCACTCACCGTCAGTGGCCTGCAGACTGTACGTCAGCCCCAGGGCCAGGTAGCCTTTGGCTTTGAATTCTGACGTTTTCTCTCCTGCATCAACCACTGTTTTGGCAAACTTCTCAGCTTCTTCCAACTGAAAAACCAGATCAGTTAAAAACAATAACAACTTGCAGAATTTCTAATGCGCGTTCCCAAAAGCATCTGCTGCCAAAGACAATTTCTGATGAGTCACTGTTCAAATAAGTCCCCAGCCTTCAGCGCCACCCTGGAGACTGCATGCTCTTAACCTGAGCCTCTCAGACAGGCCTCAGGACCCCCGCCCGGCCTCTTCCCTTTGAACTTCCCCGTATTGCTTTGCTGCCCTCTTTCCTTCCCGAGGCCCCTGTCGCACTCTGGGGGGTTCTTTTCCGTCTCTGCCCTGCACCTGCTGGCTCTGTGACTAGGCTGTGCCAGGCACTCAGAAGGTACACACGTCTCTATGTATTATTTGTAAAGAATAAAGTTCTTGAAATGATTTGTGCTTGAGTCTTTCCTTTTTAGCATGACATAAAGAATCCTTTAGGCTTGGATTTTCTTTCCTATAAGCTGTTAAAATTTTCAAAACTCCACCTATTTATTTTATTGAATTGGCCAAAAAGTTCATTCAGGCTTTTGTACACACATGCTAGAAACCCAAATGAACTTTTTTTGTTTTAGTTCTACCAGTTTATTGCTACCAACCCATCTCCCTCCACCCTTGTGCACACATGGTCAGTCATGTAATCCCATGGACTTCAGCCCGCCAGACTCCTCTGTCCATGGAGTTTTCCAGGCAAGAATACTGGAGTGGGTTGCCATTTCCTTCTCCACCAAATGAACTTTTTAGCCAACCCAGTACAATACACAACACGTAGATCTCATATCAGCAGATTCCAGTGGGGAAAAGTGCACCTGCAAATTACACCCACAATAAGGCAACCTTTTATACATCTCATTAGAGACAAAAGTAACAAGACTTGTTCCTTTGGAGTGTGACAAGTAGTGATATTATTGAAGCTGGCCGACAGTCCATGGGTGATAGCTGATTACACTTTTTACTTCTGTGGTATTTGGAAATTTTAATAATAAAAATACAAAAAAAATAGAGAAATGATTTGCTATTCTCATCTCGAAAAAAAAAAGAGGTTTATTTAAGGCGCCACGGAGATGAACAATGCCATCGCTGGAAGGTGTGTGGCAGAGGCGCAGCTGGAAGCCGGCATGTTCAAAGGGCAGAGGTTGGCGCCCGCCCTGGCGCCCGCCCTGGCCCCCCAGACTCTGCCCGCTCGCCCCCTCGTTTGCCACGCCAAGCTGCCGAAACCTCAAGTACCACACGGCACCCTCCCAGCTGTTTCAGGTGAGAGCCTGCTCTCTCAAAATGCCTGTCTTCTTCCACATTTCCCGCCTCCCCCACCTCCAATTCCCCCTCTGCTGGGTGAGAATAAATGTAAACAAGCAACAAGGACCATGCTAGAAAACCTAAGGCGAGAGCCTCAGTCTTTGGGGCAACTTCCCATCACTAACCTCAACATGAAGTTAAAGATAGACATTAAGACTCCACTGTATGTGACAGTCATCTATGCACCAGCAGGAGTCTCAGCAACAGGCTGAGTTTTCGAGCGTCTGCTCCAATGGTATACTTTTGAGGAACTACGCCGACTAACTGGCCATGAGCAAACTCCGGGAGCCAGTGAAGGACAGGGAAGCCTGGCGTGCCGCAGGTCGTGGGGTTGCAGAGTCAGACCCGACTCAGGCACTGAACAACAACTGTTACAGATCAGGCTCCTCGCAGACCCTAACCTGAACAAGAGCCTTTGAGAGGAAAGCCTCTGTGCAAGGAGCAGGATCAAGGAGGCTAAAGCGGAGGGTGACTCTTGGCCTTACAGAAGAGCTCGGCTAAGAGGGAACCGCTGCGGGACCAGCGCTTTCCGGTCCTGTGTGACTTGCGTGCAGGACGCATCTGAGCACGTGTTCCAGCTCTCTCTCACCATTCCCACCTTTGAAGCACAGTCCCGTGAAAAAGAAGCACCTGGAGTTTTCCTGATTCCCTGAAGTCCCTGGGGTGGGGGCTGAGGCCTGAGAAGGCCAGGGGCCCGGGGCTCGAGCAGCCTCGCCGGAGGGCAGCCTCCTCTCCGGCCAGCAGTGACGCAGAGGGGCTCGCGGGCACTCACCCAGTGCAGGGGGCCCATGCACAGCTTGGCGGCCAGCAGCGGGATGGTGGCGTCGTCCGGCCTCAGGCGGATGCACTCCTTCAACACCTTCACGGCACGCGCGGACTTGGCGGGAGGAGAGCGTCCATGTGAGACTCAGCGTTTCTGCCCAGGACCAAATACTGAAGGCTTCCCAGAGGGGCTTCTGGTGAGGACACCCTCTAAAGAAGGTTTTCCAGCTTGGGCCCAACCCAGCAGGGGCCTGGGGAGGGTGGTAACTGGAGCTTGGAACTTTTGGGGGACTGGGGAGTAAACTGTGGTCAGAGAAAGGGAAAATGCTTCCCTGGAATTGCTGCCTTCACTTTATTCCCTACTTGTAAAAGTAAGGGGGGGAGAAAGACAGTGGGGGTTTATGGTATTATAAAAAATAAACTACCCAACTTAAAATGTGTGTGCGTGTGTGTGTTAGTCACTCAGTCATGTCTGACTCTTTGCGACCCCATGGACTGTAGGCCACCAGGCTCCTCTGTCCGTAGGATTCTCCAGGCAAGAGTACTGGAGTGGGTTGCCATGCCCTTCTCCAAGAGATCTTCCCGACCCAGGGATCAAACCCAGGTCTCCCACATTGCAGGCAGATTCTTTGCCATCTGAGCCACCAAGGAAGCCCAATTTAAAGCATACCATACAAATTTCTGCCTCCACTTGCCCCCCAAAAAAACCTTGTGTCTCAGACTTGACTATTTATTAAAGGGCCCAAATTAAGAAGAAAAGCAGTGGCCACTGTCTTCATTGAGTGTGTTCTCGCTGAGACTCTTCTAAGCACCTTGTGAGTGTCATCACACTGCCTGATGACAATTCTGTGAAGCTGTCACCACGCGTCTATGGGGTGGATACCGGGGGACCTGCTGTGGGGCACATGGCCGCGAGCGCAGCGCCAGGCCCCTCTCCACAGTCCTTGCTTTCAACTACACACAGCCTCGTACCATGTCTTGCTAAAGATAACAGACGGACCCCTCCAGGAACAGCTGACACTCTCAGATGACTGAAAGCAGTCGGTGTGAAGAACCAACCTTAGTTTAAGCCATATCTTAATAAAGTTACAATGACTAGAAAAAAATGCAAGAATTTCAAAATTTTCCTTCTCACTGATGTCTCCATGTGGGCCCCCAAATAATGAAATGTGACCATTCATTTCTGAATGACCACAGCAGAGTTTCAGAGAGCTGGTGCAGACATCTACCAGGCACCACCTCATCCCACGCAAGTCAAGTTAACCACGGACGCAGAGGGCTGCGTGGCGCGGGGGGGAGACTCACTTTTCCAGCAGCCATTAGCGACAGAGCGAACTGGTACCAGAGGTGGAACTCCTCGAAGGCAAACTTCATGGCTCTCTCCAAGCACTGGTTCGGAAAGAGGAAGGCAGACAGACGGGTGAGAGCGGCCGGTGTCCCGGCTGGACAGGTGTGAGCGTGCGTCTGTGCACACGAGGCCAGGCCCGCCAGATCGGCCTCCCGGAGCGCTGAGCGCACCCTCCCGCAGCGAGCCCCTCCTCGGGCCCCGGCCACCACGCCCTGTACCGGAACAAGACGGTCTGCAGCTGCTAACACAGCCTCTGCTGGTTCAGTTTCCACATATTTTATTTACAGTCAATCTTATGCATTTTAGCGTATAGTTCTGAGAGTTTGCACCCATGTATATAACAGTGTAACCACCAAGACAGACTAAATGAAATGGAATCCAATCCCCCAAAATTCTCCCGTGTTCTTCTGCAGAGAAACTCCTGGCACTGTCTCCGCCCGCCCTCCCCCCAACCCCCCACTTCAAGATTGGAACCTACATTTGTCCTTATGACTTTTCCTTTGCAAGAAATGTCATAGAAATGAAACCACGCAGTATGTAGCTTTTTGACTGTGGTTATTTCCATTTAGGATAACGCATACGACATTCATCTATTTGCACAACCCAACCCTTGACCCCAAGGAGCTTTTCATGTGGTACAGGCAAAGAGGCAGGTAACTGAACTACTCAAATGCAAGGTCCCAACTGACAAGGGTCCCGAGAAGAGGAAGCAGAGAGCATGGGAAGGAGGTCTTGGGGAACAGGAATGGCATCCTGGAGGAATGCACTGGAGCAGGGCTTTGACGGATGAGAAGGGAAAACACACAGCTGTGATTTGGAACTGGTACTTCAGGGCGTCCCGGAGGCTCAGTCAGTAAAGAATCCGCCTGCAATGCCGGAGACCTGGGTTCGATCCTGGGTCGGGAAAATCCCCTGGAGAAGGGAGTGGCAACCCACCCAGGTATTCTTGTTTGGGAATCCCAAGGACAGAGGAGCCTGGCGGGCTTCAGTCCACAGGGCCACAGCGAGTCGGGCGCGACCGGGCGACTAGCACGGCGACAAATGAGGACGCCGACAGCGGCTGTGAGACGGACGCCGCTCCCTCATCACGACCACCCTGGAGATACACTTAACCCAGAGCTCCGGGCTGGCCACGCGACCCCACCCTGCACCAGGGTGTCGGCCGGAGTTGGAGGGAGGCGCGCTCAGCGGGCACGCACTTGCCCTCGGCCCTGGCCTGTCTCCTTCCCGGGACGCAGACTCCACACTGGAGGTGGGGCGGCCAGGAAGCGAGAACCGTGAGGACAGACGTGCCTCTCCAGGATGCCTGAGCAGGGAGCCTGGCCGGCCTGGACGCCGTGGGACACTGCAGACCTCCTGCCGTGCGGAGAAAACAAACCCGCACTTGGTTAAGGCGCTACCAGCTTGTTAGCGCCTTCTGGATACACCTCTCAGTAATGCAGACGCGGAGCGGCAGAGCCCCCGAGCCCTCTTACCTGCTCCGCTACATGGACGAGCAACGAGCAGGCACTGCTGTGTTTAGGAAGCGCAGCAGAGGAAACGAGAGGAAGGCAGCTCGCTGAGGTCGAGCAGGCAGGATGGGGCACCCGGGGCAGACTCAGCCCAGGTGCGGGGTGGTACGGCTGGGGAAACGTGGGGTGGACAGGGCTTCCGGAGAAGAAGGGTGAAAAGTTGACAGCATTTGGAAACTGATTTAGGGAAGGGGGATGAGGGATGAGAATGATGACCACATTGACGGAATGAGGCAAAGGAGTCAGGGCGTGCGGAGGAGGAGGTGGACGATGATCAGAGAGGAGGTGTATTCCAACAGCTCCGCTCAACTGGTTCACTGCAAAACAACCACTAAGTACTTAATTGTGTATACGGAAACAGTCAAATGTTTGAGTGCTTTTCTTCCTCCTTTGCTAACAGGAATGATAAATATCAACTGTTTCCCTGATAAACAAAAGGAGCTCATAGCTGAAACAGTCTGTTCTGAACCAAAAAGCTAGATGCTATAAATAAGTGTGCATCCTTGTTTTCTTCTGTGACAAAGGCTAACACACTATCCTTAGCGAGAAACGGTCACGGAAGCTCAGTTGGTACAGAGCTCCATTCCAGCTGTGCCAGGGAAACGCCAGCCCTCACAAAGCCTAGACGCAGCGTCCCAGGGCCGCCAGGGAGCTCGGGGAGCACCTGGCTGAGGTCCTCAAAGGAGAGGACGTTTCTCACTTTGGCTGCCAATCACCTCAAACTCTTCTTTTTGTTTCCAGGCAGGGAGTGGGGGAAGGTCACCCTGGATAAAAGGGGAGCGGACTCTCCCTTCCCGGCAGCCAAGCCTAAGGGTGAATGAAGGAGGAAAGAGAGAGGAGTGTGTCGTGTGACCTTAGTACGGCCAATCAGATGCTCCCGCCAGAGAGCTGCCTCTGGAGGTCAGAGCAGGGCAGCTGGCTGCTGGAAGCTGGTTTAAGAATTGATGCTTTTGAACTGTGGTGTTGGAGAAGACTCTTGAGAGTCCCTTGGACTGCAAGGAGACCCAATTAGTCCATCCTAAAGGAGATGAGTCCTGAATATTCACTGGAAGGACTGATGCCAAAGCTGAAACTCCAATACTTTGGCCACCTCATGCAAAGAGCTGACTCATTGGAAAAGACTCTGATGCTGGGAAAGATTGAAGGTAGGAGAAGGGGACGACAGAGGGTGAAATGGTTGGATGGCATCACCAACTCGATGGACATGAGTTTGAGGTAGTTTCGAGAGCTGGTGATGGACAGGGAAGCCTGGCGTGCTGCAGCCCATGGGGCTGAAAAGAGTCGGACACGACTGAGCGACTGAGCTGAACTGGAGGCCATGAAGGTGCCCAGGCTCCTCTTATAACAAGCCCCACCTCCCAGCCCCCAACAAGCAGTTGTACCACTTCTGCCTGAGAACCTTCCAGAAGAGGAGATTCACCTGAACAGAAGCAAAGAATCTAGGCGTGTGTGAATTCGGGCAAGCCAATTAACCCCCCTATGCCCAGATTCCTCATTATAAAATGGGAAATACACAGTAAGCAATGTATAAAAGTATCAGGAAGATCAGATTAGTTAATACATAATAAGCAACAGTACTTCAGATCCAGGCTAGTAGATTAGCTACTGTCTTTTTAAAAAATGTATATTCTTAAATTAAGAAAGAAAATGTAACATGAGGCCTATCACTTTATCCAAATTTAATATATGAAAATTCAAAATAATACACTGTATCAGAGGTAAGTATTTACTTTATAAAATGTTTCCTCCCTTGAGGAAAGAATTCAGACTGAGACCCTTGAAAATACTGTAGAACTTCACAGAACCAAACGAGAATGTATGTTTGGGCTGCGTGCGTGCTCGGTCGTGTCTGACTCTTTGCGACCCCACGGATTGTACCGTCAGGCTTCTCTGTCCACGGAATTCTCCGGGCAAGAACACTGGAGTGGGTTGCCGTTCCCTTCTCCAGGGGATCTTCCTGACCCAGGGATTGAGCCCACATCTCCTGCGTTGGCAAATTCTTTACCACTACTCCACCTGGGAAGCTAGAATATATGTTTTATTATTTCCTTAATAAGTGATATGGGGCGTCCCGAGTGGCTCAGAGGGTAAAGACTCTGCCTGCGATGTGGGAGACCCGGGTTTGATCCCTGGGTCAGGAAGATCCCCTGGAGAAGGGAATAGCAACCCACTCCAGTACCCTTGCCTGGAGAATTCCCAGGACAGCGGAGCTTGGTGGGCTATAGTCCATGGGGTTGCAAAGAGTTGGACACAACTGAGTGACTAACACTTTTAATAAGTGGTGTGGCGTGAATGTTTATGCCCCCCTAAAATTCATATGTTGGAACCTAACCCCCAGTGTGATGTTAGGGGGCCCTGGTCAGGAGGGTGGAGCCACGGAGAGATCCCTTGCTCCTTCAGAGATGGCGGGCAGTCTGCACCCCGGACGTGAGCCTTTACTAGACAGCAAATCTGCCAGTCATGATCTTGGACTTCAGACTGCAGAACTACGGGAAATGAACGCTTTTTGTGTACAAGCCTGCGGTATTCTGTTAGAGCAGCCAAGCGCTGTTCCGACTGCTTTCTGAGAACGGCCTCATCCTGGTCAGGTGACCCGACTGGTCCAAGCAGACGGTTCTCCAGTCGCTCAGTCACGTCCAGCTCCTTGCGACCCCATGGACCGCAGCACGCCAGGCCTCCCTGTCCTCCACCGCCTCCCGGAGTCTGCTCGGACTCACGTCCATCGAGTCAGTGATGCCGTCCACACAGGCACTGCCGCACTTACGGCGGCGGCGGCTCCACGGGGCTGCGCCGGGGCTCAGAGCGCAGGGGGAGCGGGCTGGACGCCCGGCGGCCTGCGGCAGAGCTGGGGCCACAGCTCCCCTCCGCCTGAGACGCTCCTTACAGACAAGCCACTCGAACGGCTGGGCCGCCTCTCCCCGCATAAAGCCAAGTCTGGCTAAATAAAAGGCTCCTAAAAATGCCACACGTTCCCTGAACTATTTCTGAGATTCAGCAATACATACATATATACATACATACATATATATATATATTTTTTTTTTTTCACTGCTGATGGAGCCCTTGTTTCTGTACCCTCTGAGCACTGGGGCCTTTCCAGCTTGCAAGATTTTCAAGAAACTTGACGGATCCCGTGGCGTCTGCTAGCAGCGCAGCGCCATCTCGAAGGCGCGCATCTGGACAGACAGGCCGTGGTTCCCCCTACACTGCAGGCCTTTCACAGGCCCCTCCCAGCTCAGACCCCTTCTCATTACTAGAGCAACGCACACTCCAGGATAAGCTGTAGGGGTGTTATAAAGAGAGATGGGAAATGCAAGCCTACAATTACAAATTAACCCCTTGCCCCGATTCGGAAATATTCGCGCTCTGGCCTCACAGTGGATGGCTCTGTCCTCCTGTGGGCTCCTGGCAGTCTTTCTGAGAGCTGGCTCGGAAAAAGTGCCCAGACAGCTCCAGCCGTGCCTGAGGTCCTGATGCCACGCATCCTGCTAAGCCAAGGAACACGTCCTCCCTGACGGGCCTGTAAACGC